CAATCACCAATTTGCTTTCTGTTTCTACAGATTTGCCTATTCTGGATATTTCATATAAACAGAATTATACAATATGTGGCCTTCCGTGTCTGTTTTTTTTCTTAGCATAACATTATTGAGTTTCATCCCCATTGTAGCATGTTATCAGCATTTTATTCCTTTTTTTTAAATGTTCTTCTATTCATATAATTTCCTCCCGCCTGGAATGCTCTCTCCCCATGCCTCTTTTGTGTTTAGCCAATTTAACTCATCATTCAAGAACTAAGTCAAGTCATACTTTCTCCATAAAGACTTCTCTGCATCCTCTGTCTTCTTAGGACCCCTATAGCTCTAGCTACATGACTTAGTTTAAATGCTACATACCAGTGATGTTTAGGATTAGTTTTAGAATAATGCAGCAGATAACAGTGTGGGAAGCTGGGGTGGATGAAATAAGATTGGCCATGTATTGATGATCACTGAAGCAGGTGATGGGTACATGGCGGTTCATTGTTTATTCTCTCTATTTTTGTGTATGTTTAGAAGTTTCCATAATAAGAAAATTTAAATAATGTCTCGTGGGCTGGTCCCGTGGCGCACTCAGGAGAGTGCGGCGCTGGGAGCGCAGTGACGCTCCCGCCACGGGTTCGGATCCTATATAGGACTGGCTGGTTCGCTCGCTCACTGGCTGAGAGTGGTGCAGGCGACACCACACCAAGGGTTGTGATCCCCTTACCGGTCACAAAAAAAGACAAAAAATAAATTAAAAAAAAAAACAATGTCTCGTACTATTACCTGGTTTATGAGTTAATGTCTCATCCTCCCAATGAGATCCTGTGCTCCTATGATTGCTGTTCATGCCTTGGTGGATGAGGGCTCCTATAGAAAGGTAGACCTCCACCAGTGCCTGCTGAATTAAATTCTATCTGAGGTGTTTAAAAAATTCCATTGACAGAAAGCTAGATTTAGGTGTGAAAATAAAGATCCACATTGCTATTTTATCTTTAGTTTCATGGCCTGTCTTCCACAGTTGACCTCCTTTTTGATTTCTGCTCTAGCTTCTCTCTTGGACCTATAACCCATCTCCAATGAGTGAGTGCAATGCCCCTACTTCAGCATTCTGAGACGTTTCTGGATAATCCACACTTATCGTAACACTGGAAGCCAAATTTGCATTCCGATTTCTATTTTGTCCCTTCCCTTCTTTCTCCATAGATCCCATTCTGCTTCTACCTTCTTTGGGTACTAAAGGTACGAAAAAAAGAGCACATTCACCATCGTTCCCACATCCACACAATGAGTGTTCGTGTCTTTCTCTCCTTCTCCACTAATTCAGAGAAAGTACTCTAAAAACAAAACTAGGACTTAAATGATGTGATGATTCACATTCTTCTATACCCACTGCTCTTTCTATGTTCAAATGGGGCCAGTAACTCCATGAGAAGTGTCATGTCAAAAAAGTGTTTGCAGCCAGCACTGCAAGAAGAGAACCCCTTTGCCCGCATCTAGTGTCCAATGCCTTCAGGTGGAAATTAGGCTAAACATAGAGCAGTCACTGCCACTCTGTCGTTACAGAGGTGACTGAAAAGGATGCACTAAACTTTATGATTCATTTCTCTCCTCTTTCCCTGAAAAGCTAGAGAAAAACATTTTGGCAAGAGAGCAATTTCAAAGTTTAGTAAATCTAGAAACAAGGGACTTGAATTACTCATTCATGCAGGGAGCACACAGACAGGAGAGACCGATGAACTAGACACAAAACCGAAGCCTCTGAGTCGTTCACTAATGCTGAAATCTAAAAACCGTGACTCTGATTATGACACGTTGAGAAGCCCACACGAGGACAAAGCAGTCACATGAACTGTCTCTCTCTTTGAACTGACTCCCTTCCCTTTAGTTTGGTCTCACCTTTCCACTCTGCCAAATATCAAGGCTTTGTTTCAACAGGTCTATACCTTTGGGAGGTACTTTCTATCACCATTCTCATCAGATGGTTTTCTTCACAAATAGAATTTTTTGTAAAGTCACCTGCTGTATAAATGGGGTAGACAGAATAATGGCCCCCAAAGATGTGCATATCCTAACCCCCAGGGTCTGTGAATGCATTATACACCAAGGGGGAATGAATGTTGGAGATGGAATTAAGGTTGCTAATCAACTGACTGTAAGACAAGGAGATGGGGATTATCCAGATGGGCCCAGTGTAATCACAAGGGTCCTTGTAAGTGAAAGAGGGAACCAGAAGACTCAAGGTCAGAGGGATGTGAGGTGAGAAAGACTCAACTGGCCACGGCTGGCTTTGGAGATGGACACCGGGAAACGTGGGCAGCACCTAGAAGGTGAAAAAGTCAAAGAAACAGATTCTTCACTAGAGCCACCCTGCTGGCACTTTGATTTTAGCCCAGCGAGACCCATTTCAGACTTTTTACTTACAAAATAGTAAAATAATACATTTGCATTGTTTTAAGCCTCCAACCTTCTGGCAATTTGTTACAGCAGCAATCAGGAACTGACACATAGCTGTTTACAAGAGATGGGGGAGAAACCTTAATTAATTTTATGATCTCTCTTAAAAACACCAATTCAAACCATTTTGAGCTATTCCTAAAATTAAGGAATTTAAATTCCTCCACACCCTGCTGTGATTCCTGCCATGCCCAGTGCTGCTGCCTGCCACTCCACATGTCCCCCTTTGTGTGGCTGCTACAGTCATCACATCCCAGGCACTACTCCTGGGAATTTAAATTCCTCCACACCCTGCTGTGATTCCTGCCATGCCCAGTGCTGCTGCCTGACACTCCACATGTCCCCCTTTGTGTGGCTGCTACAGTCATCACATCCCAGGCACTACTCCTGGTCAGGACTGTGGCCACCAGGAGGGGTGTCAGAAACAAAGATGCTTAGAGGCAATCAGGGACATTTCTCAAAAGTTGATTATTACTTGCTTTCCTCAATATCATTTCTAAACAGAATAATTGTGCCTATAATATCAAATAACTGAGATGTTACTTTTCTTGCAATGAATTGTTTCGGACCTTTTTCATAGTGTAATTTTATTTTAAAAAGTAAAAGACAAGCTTGAGAATATTTTTTTCTCCAAAATAGCCTTGTCTCCAAGTGCTACACTACTTTATATATTGTCAATTGTTGATTATCAAGAGACAAATTATCCACCCTGTAGTTCTCTGGAATCAAGAACCTCTGCTTTCTTTTCTCCTCCGTCCAGCTGCCAACCTTTTGACTACGGCCGAGTCATTGCCATCGCCCCTTCACAGGACAAGGAAGGAGAAAAGACACAAAAGATGATTTGATCATGCTGTCTCCCTAAACAAAACTAAGGTTTTGTTACAGAAGAGTTTAACACTTCCAATTTATTTAGGGACAGATGTGACTAATCTGGCCAAAAATGCAAACCAGAACTGTGACAGCAACAAACATCAATGATGCTTTAAAAAATGTTAATAGTAAGTTTTTCCTAAATTGAAAAGCTTTTTTTTTAAGTGATAAAGTTACACATTTGTTGTAAAAAGCAAATGGAAGTATACAGATTAGTCCTTTTACACTACATAAAACTAATGCATATTTCCATTATTTATTTTCCTCATCTGCACTTGAAAACTGCTTTATTTCAGTCGTGAATAACATGTTCCTTTCGCTGTCTTTCCCTTCACATTTGCTTCAGAGACTGCAAAAGGAGCTCTAAAGAGCTGAAACCTTGTGTGGTCTCAGGGTAGGAAGTTGGCCACTTCTGCTCTATGGATTTCAGTTTCACAGGCTATGTATTTCTATTCCTCATTAACACAACTGAAACATAAATCAATATTCCAAGTTTTACCCTCACTCCCAACAAAGATTTGTAATGCACCTGGTCAGGCAGATGTACCTTGGAGAAAGATCACATGCAGTAAAGTGTGCATGTTGCCACATTTCCTGCATATTCTATAATCAAAAATAATTTGACTGTAAAATTTATGTTCCAGGCAAGCTTGTTTTTAAGTTTAATACCTGCTTTCCATAACACACAATAAAGGTATAGTATGTGTTATGCAACTGGCCTTGAGTGATACAACACATAAATGGTGTGAGACCAATTACCAAAAATCATGCAGGTTGTTACAGAAGTCATATAGAATATCCTAAATGTGCTTTTGAGTAAATTTCTCAGCTACCAGAGGCCTGTGCAGCTGTTTCCAACACATTCTGGCACAATACATGTGTTATTATCCACATATGTATCCCACAATTTCAAACGGTTGAAGAAGACACCTTCCTCTTTGGGAGGAAGGGAATGTACAAGCATTCACTAGCACTGGGGGACCTGGTCATCTGAGTTATAAAAAAAGATGCATAGGGCCGGCCCGGTGGCGCACTGGATAGTGCGCCGCTTGGGAAGCGCGGTGGCGCTCCCGCCCGAGGGTTTGGATCCCACATACAGACCGGTTCCCGCTCACTGGCTGAGTGAGGCGCGGGAGCAACGCCAAGGGTTGCGATCCCGTTGCCGGTACCTGGTCCGGTACGGGGGCAACACTGAGGGTTGCGATCCGTTGCCGGACATGGAAAAAGACAAAAAAAAAAAAAAAAAAGATGCACAATTGTGACATCGAAACATAAGCCAGGTGAGTGAAACAGGAAAGGAACCACAGTAAGCTGATCATCCAAGAGGTTGGAGGACTGAAATTTTATTTGGTGAAGAATATTAAAATAGGGTTCAGAGGAAAGGAAGTTCCCTTGAAACTAGTAAATGTGGAATCACAACATTGAAACAGTGTGCATCTGGAAAGTGAATAAACAGATGCCAGAGGGGAGTGAGTCACAAGCACGAGTTCTAAGAAGTTGAACTTGAGAGACCAGATCAGGCATCGCTGCTTAATACCATCACATGATCTGCCTGGAGGCCTTGTATTTAATTAAAATAAAGAGTGGGGTGTAGCGGGGACCAGAAGAACACTGGTGCTCTTCGTGGATGGGGCCAGAGAAGTTAAAAGTTAAACTCTGATCGCCTGGGTTTGTGAGAATTCAGCATGGAATGTCTCTACTATTTCCTGGGATTTCTGCTTCTGGCTGCAAGGTTGCCACTTGATGCCGCGAAACGTGAGTAACTCCTTGTTTAACCCATTCTCTGGCTATTGTCTGAAGCGATGGGTAATAATGTCCTCTGAGCCAGAAGTTGGACTGAAGCGCCTTAAGAAGCACTCACGGCCTCACTCACTGCTTCTGCAAACTGCAGGCAATGCTGGAACTACAGCAAAATGCCTCCAGCTCCATTCTTTGCTTCAGGCTCATAGAAAGCAAGAACCATGCAACCCCTCTCTTGAGCAGCTTTTTTTCCATCCCAGTTGCCACCCACTCTTAACAGGCAGTGGTTGGGAAAGGGGAAACAGTCTGGCTGGATAACAAAGCAACTCTACAAAGTAAACTTTGTCTGGTGGAGACCTCAGATGAAATGGGGTCCCAAGTATGGAGACAGGCTTTCTAGAAACCCCAACCCAGAAGCTGTTGCTAATTCTGCTGATCTTTCTTCATAGACCTGCAGGAGCTTGCTGCAGCCTTAGTGAGGTTACTGAGAGAAGAGCTGAAGGCCTGGTTCTCTATCCTGGTTATGCATCAGAGGCTGGGGCACTTTTAACAAGGCCCCACCAGTGAAATCAGGATCTTTGGAAGTGGGGTCAGTGCATCCTTGTTCAAAAAGCTCCTCTTGCTGTTCGAATGCACAGCCCCTTTGAGAACCGCTGCGCTACAGCACGTCCAGTTGTTTAGCCCGGGGAGCGGTGGGGATGGTGGCCACGGTGGTCTCCATTCTCCAGACAGAGTTATATGTTCAGTGGGAGAAAGAAGTGAATCACATAGTACCAAGAAGGTCCACTCCACCTCACTCCAATAGGGTGTCACTGGATGGGAAGTCCGTGGGTCCAGATTCTGCCATGGGGGGAGCTTGAGCATAGAGGCAGCCCCTGGTCCTCACCCCACACCGCGCAGGAGCCGAGAAGGGATCTGGCGCCCCGCATTCGGGCAGCTGCGCTTACGTGGCTCAGGCAGTCCCCACAGCCTCCTTGGGGAGCAGGTGGGCCTCTCCCTGCTCAACAGGTGAGGGCGGTAAGGGCCCAGCTCTCGCTTTCACCTGCTCGGCCCGGCCCCGGCTCCGGCTCCGGAGGGGGATCCCGGACACAGGGCCCGGGGCTCCTGTGCGCGCCCTCCTGTCCCTGCTCCCGTCCTTCGGCCGTCCTTGCAGAGCCGGGCCAGGCGCGGAGGAAGAGCGGAGCCGCCGGGGCCGAGCAGCGGGGGCCGCGACAGGGACTGCGGCCCCGGAGGCTGGCGCTGTGACGGTCCCGTTTCCCGGACGAGGAACCGGGCCTTAGAGAGGGCGAGGGACTCGGCCCGGGCCACACAGCCGGTGAGCGGAAGAGGAAGCCACCGTCGCGACCCGCCGCTGGCCTTCGGGCCGGGGTGTGGAGCAGGACGGACTTGGGTTCCCTGCTTGCAAGACCGAGTGCCGGGGTTCATGTGAGACCCCCTGCCAAAAGGTGCTTGGCGTGGGGGACATTCACGGTGGCCTTGACCTCCTGGTGGCTGAGCTGCACCCCACCCTCAGTGCACTTGCCAGACACACTCCCGCGGAGTCTGCACGTCCCGGCCATGCAGGAGCGGGATCCGCAGGCCGGCGGGACCCCAAGAGCCCGGCTCCAGCCTTCCCCGGTGCCGCTTGGCTCTGCCCGGTAAAATAGATTCGCTGGAGGTTGAATCCAGGCTGTCAGTTCGAGAGGAGTCCCCACCGTAAAGTAACAAAACCCGGACATTGTTGGGTTCGCCTTGCCCGAGAGTAAATATTCTGGCCAGAAACAATAAGGGCAGGTGAGATTAGCAGTGCATCGAACAAGAGAGATTCCTGCCACTGTCCAGGTATAGCCCTGGAGGGAGGACGAGGTGTTGTGAGTAGCTAAGCAGCCCAGCCTCCACCTCAGCGCGTGGGGAGAGCAGGGAGTCCAGCTGCACAGAGAAAAGCCACAGCAGTGCTGGGTGCGACTCCACCCACGCCACCCCCAACACACGCACACTTTTTTTTCTTTTAATGTCTGCTTAATATTAGGTTTGTTTTTAAATGCAACTTTTTATTTTGAGGTCACTGTAGATTCACGTGTAGTTGTAAGAAGTAATACAGAGACTTACATTGCCCCAACAGGAACATCATGCAAAACACAGTATCACAACCAAGATATTGACACTGATACAGTCAACATACTGAACTGTTCCATCACTACAAGGATTCCAAAGCCCTTTTACAGCCAAATCAGCTTCCTTCCCTGCAACCCCACCCAGCCCCTGGCAACCACTAATCCATTCTCCATTTTTATGTTTGTCATTTCCAGAATGCCATACAAATGGAATTATACAATATGTGGGGATTGGCTTTTCTCACTCAACATAATTCCCCAGAGATTTATTGGAGTTGCTGCATCAATAGCTTGTGCCTTTTTATCACGGAGGAGTATTCCATAATATGGATGCACCACACTTTGGTTAACCAATCATCCATTAAAGGACATCTGGGTTCTTCTAGTTTGCAGTATTATGAATAAAGCTGCTGTGAACATTCACATACACATTCCTGTGTGATTTAAGTTCCATTTCCCTGACATGCATGCCAAAGAGTACAATTGCTTGGTTGTGTGGTAGTAGTTTTATAAGAAACTGCCAGAGTGTCTGTGCCATTTCACATTTCCACAGCAAGTTATGAGTGATCCAGTTTCTCTGCATTCCCACCCGCATTTAGTGTCATCACTACCTTTTATTTCATGCATATTGATAGATACAGAGTGATATTTCATTGTGGTTTTAATGTGCATTTCCCTACTGGCTAATGATGTTAAACATCTCATGTGTTTATTTGCCATCTGTACATCCTCTTTAGTGAAATATCTGTTCATGTCTTTTACCTATTTTCTAATTGAATCACTTGGTTTTTAATTATGAGTTTTGCAAGTTCCTTATATATTCTAGATACTAGTCCTTAAATGTGATTTGCAAATAATTTCTCCCAGTTTGTACCTTGTCTTTTCATCCTCTTCACGTGATGTTCACAGAGCAAAAGTTTTTCATTTTAATGAGGTCCAATTTATCATGTTTTTTCTTTTATAATCATGTTTTTGGTGTCAAGTTTAGGAATTCTTACATTTTGTACCTTGTCTTTTCATCCTCTTCACGTGATGTTCACAGAGCAAAAGTTTTTCATTTTAATGAGGTCAAATTTATCATGTTTTTTCTTTTATAATCATGTTTTTGGTGTCAAGTTTAGGAATTCTTACATAGCCCTAGATCCTGAAGGTTTTATGCTTTTTACTTTTTTTACAGCACTGTTTGTTGAAAAGGCTATCTTTCCTCCATTGGATTGTTTTTACATCTTTGTCAAAAATTAGTAGGCCATGCTTGTGTGGGTCTATTTCTGGGTTCTCTTTTATGTCCCATTGTGTCTATCCCTTGTCACTATCTTCAGTTTGTATTTTTCCTTGACTTCTGATATTTAAAATCAGAGGAGAAATCTGTGTTTTGATTATATTTCTGGAAACATTAATTTTCTGTCAGGAACTGAGGAAGAGGAAGAACTAGTCTTGGGAATCAAAAGTTGAGTCTTCATTTCCATTAGGTTAAAGATGACCAGATCATATCATGTCACATCTCTAGGCCTAAATTTCTTCATCTATAAAATGAAGGGGTTTTAACTAAGTAATCTTAGTTCTTTCCATGTATCTCAATTCAAGTGAATTTCCAGTTATAAACATGTACTGATAAACATGAATTTTCTGCCCTCACTTAGTATCTGTTTCCAAATAGGAACAATCTCACAGAATCACAGAACATTTGATTTTTGTTTGATTTGAAGGCTCAGAGAAGACACGTGGCCTGAGGCCACAGGTCCTGTTTAGTAGCAGCAGCACCAAGGCCAGAAACCAGGTTGCACGACTCCTAGTTCAGTACTCTTTCCCATGCCATCTGTCTCCCTGATAAGAAGGGAACAACGGTGCTCCCTCCTCCCGCCAGGTTAGAGGAACAGGAGAAAGAGGTTAGTAGCAAGCATTCAATATGGCTTCTCGAGCACCTGCTACATACCACACCTCCTGGTAGGCCTCGTCCAGGATTTAAGAGAAGAAGATAGTTTCTGATCTCTAAGACCAGGTCAAGACACAAGATCATAAAAATCGATGAGAGAAAAATTTAAGACAACATATGATTAAAGGGTGGCTGAGGGTGCTAGATAATTGAGCTCTTGGCTGTGAGTAACAGAATAGGTTGAGTAAGACACTTACCATCTCATGCAGTCAGTCCAGACGTCGGCAGGACTAGAGCCACAGCTCAATAAAGTCATCAAGGACTCCATGTCTCACCATCTTTCCACCCTGACTCCCTTGATGTGTTGGCTCTTTCCTCAAATTTGTGTCCTCCTAGTAAAATATGGCTGTCACCACTCCAGGCATTATATCATTACACTACCATCTCCAAAATTAATTCTGAGGAAGAAAAAATGAAGTTTGTTCTCACAGTCTCTTTTTATAAGGGAGGAAAAACCTTTCCCAGTAGCTCCCAGCAAGCTTACTCTCAGCCCTCAGTGGCCAGGATTTGATTATCCACTTCTGCGCAAACTGTAGGAAAAACTAGGAAAATGAGCCTCTGCAATTTTGAAATGGTACAGTAGAGGCTCTGCCAGCAAGGGGAAAAAAGGGGGTGCAGGCAGGAACCAACAAGTCTGCTACAGTTCTCAAAGAAAGGAGACCACATGACCATCAGAGCAGTCAAGCAAGGCAAAAAAAGACAGCAGTCCACTCAAGATTAAATATACATTTTGACAGCTGGCCAGTACTGGGACCTGAACCCTTGACCTTGGTGTTATAACACCTCACTCTAATCAACTGAGCTAACCAGCCAGCCCTAAAATGAATTTTAAAATAACTATAATATTATAAACCTTAGAGCAACCACTTAAAACAAGACAAAGAGGTATAGCTAATAAGCCAGTAGTGGAGATAAAGTGGAATCTAAATATAATTCAAAAAAAGTACAGGAAGAGGAGGAAAAAGGAAAAGATAGGACAAACAAGACAAAGAGGTATAGCTAATAAGCCAGTAGTGGAGATAAAATGGAATCTAAATATAATTCAAAAAAAGTACAGGAAGAGGAGGAAAAAGGAAAAGATAGGACAAATAGAAAACCAGTATCATGATGGTAGACTTAAATCCCACAATATCAATAATTAGTAAACATTCCAAATAAAAGGTAGAGATTATCAGACTGGATTTTTTAAAAAAACACAACCATTTGCTGTCTACAAAAAAACACTTCAAATATAAAAATGCATATAGATGAAAAGAAATGGAAAATGATGGGAAAAGATATACCAGTTAAATACTAAGCATTCATATCAAAGTATTTTTCAGAAAAAGGAATATTACCAGGAAGAAAGAGGGTTAATTCCTAATGAGAAAAGGGTCAATTCATCAAGAAGACTTAACAGTTCTAAATGTGTATACCCCTAACAACAGAACTTCAAAATACATAAGACAAAAACTGACAGAACTGGAAGAAGAAATAGGCAAATTGGCAAATCCACAATTACAGTTGAAGATTTTAAGATTCCTCTCTTTGTAATTGAAAAAACAAGTAGACAGAAAATCAATAGGAATATAGAAAACTTGAAAAACACTATCGACTAGATTGACATAAATGACATTTAAAAAAAAAAAAAACTCTTACCAACAAATGTAGACTACACAATTGCACACGGAACATTCACCAAGACAGACCATATTCTGGGCCATAAAAAATTGTTTAACAGTGGGCTCTCTGGTACTAGCATGTATCTCTTGGAATCCTGGAGGCATTCACGAGCCTGGCATCTCTTTAACCACAGTAGTTCAGAATGGGAAAAGATACAAACACATGTCGAAAGATCATTGACATCAGTGTTTTTCCTAATGATATTGTATCAAATCCAAATATTCAGAGGATATGTATTAAGAAGCCAAGTGATGAAGAAATATTGGCTTTCAAAATTTTTCTTTGATTCATTTAAAGTACATAAAGAGATAAGGTCTCCTTATGCTGTATTCAAGGTATTTCCAGTAGATTTTTTTTTAAATCCTTTATTTATTGACCTATTATATATATTACATATGTACTTTCCAACAGTATGAGATAAGCAGTTTCCTCAACTATTGTTAGATAAGTACTAAATGAAGAATGGAATAAAATAAAATAAAATAAAATAAACAAAATAATTTTTCAAATATTGATATAGGATTTCATGATGTGCTGGGCAATGAAAGACCTTCTGGTTATATGAGGGAACACAACAAGTTAAATGGCTGGTGTTCTGATGAAAATGAATGGGATGAAAAACTCTATCCAGTGTGGAAGAGAGGAGACATGAGGTGGAAAAACTCCTGGAAAGGTAAGTCAAAAGATTCAGCCCAAACAACCATAATTTCCTATTTTAGTAAGCTTTGTACATTGTAGAGCCTTTTAGTTCACACGGCTCACATTTCCATAAATGGTACCCGGACTTAGCAATCTTTCCTTTATCCCAACATTATCACTTTCTAAGCCACAATATAATGTTTAATCTCCTTAGAAATTTCCAAGTTGGTAACTCTTGGGATATTTTGGAGAGCAAGCAGGTTTGACCTCAGACCTATTTAACTGACATGGGAATTTTCATCTTCAGAAGGCCTGTGACCCTGACATAGTTTTTGACTGTCTCAAAGGTGTGGTTCATCATTAAGTGAATATCTTTCTGTTCAGGTAAAAGAATGTGTCCTTCAGCCAATGGTTTGGAGATTAAAAAATACAGACATTTAAAACTTGTCTCCTCAATCCAATTGAGCATTTTAAAAATTATCTGAAGTAAATGTTCTTTCTGTAGTCAAAGAATTCTTTAAGTGATCTGATTTATTTTTATGTCTTAAAAAATGTATTCTGGGCCAGCCCAGTGGTGCACTCGGTAGAGTGCGGCGCTTGGGAGCACGGCGGCGCTCCAGCCGAGGGTTCGGATCCCATATAGAGACCTGTCCGCTCACTGGTTGAGCGCAGTGCGGGCGCAACACCGAGGGTTGCGATCCCGTTGCCGGTCGCGGTACGGGCGCTACACCGAGGGTTGCGATCCCGTTACCGGTCACGAAAAAAGACAAAAAAGAAAAAAAAATGTATTCTGAAAGCTAAAGTTACGAATCTAGAAAATAAATGTGACGTATCATAAAGAGGTATATGGATCCTCTGCTCCTTATTAATAGATTTAGCTTTACTTTAAATGATTACTTAAGATGAAAGGCAAAAGAGATGCCTGATCACTGAGCTCCACCTTTTTATGCCCTTAGGAGGCCACGTGCAGGCAGTGCTGACCAGCAACTCACCAGCACTGGTGGGCTCAAATATAACGTTTGTGGTGAACCTGGTATTCCCCCGATGCCAAAAGGAAGATGCCGATGGCAACATAGTCTATGAGAAGAACTGCAGAAATGGTAAGAACGCAGTAGTTCTCCTAAACTACTGGAGACCTGTCCCATAAATCTTAATGCTCAGGGGAACTTCCATAAGCACAAGATGTTCCCTCACCACCCTCCTTCTTAAATTGAATGACAGGGAGGGTAAGTGAGGGGTCCTACCCAGCCCCTTCATCAACACCAACCTCAGCCAAGCCTACTTCAACTCAGTGGTGGCTCCCCACGGTTTGGAGCTCTCTTCAAAAGCTACATGGTCACAACCTGGCTTTTTCTTAGTCTCAGGTTTATTGGACAGAATACCTTGCTGTTTCTCAGATTTTTGTTTTGTTACTTGGAACTCTTTCAGCTACTCAAAAAAATAGCCAATTTGATAGATGTCTGCTGATAGGCTTAATTTCTGCCGACAAGTATTTCCTGAGCAAATGCTGCGTGGCTAGCACAAATGCTAACATGTGTACCCCTTGGTCTGGCTTTGCTCTTAAGGAGATAAGCTCTTTGTACTCGTGAAAGAACACAAAGCAGCACAAATATATCAAGGAAAATTATCTTGTTAGGGTTGTACATCCTCAGAAACGCTGAGCTGACTACTCAGATTCTTCAATCAGTAAGACGCCTTTTAATAATGTACTTATGATCTGATTTTTTTATTTAGAACTTTTATTAAACTGTTGATATGTTCATCATTCCATATTAATTTTTCATCCTCCTGTGAGGGAAAATAAATAAATTCTGTATGGAAAGGGTGTGATATATAACAAGCATTAAGCATTTAATATTTTGCAGCACTTTTTCTCTTTCTTCTCTTTTAAAAAATCTGGTTCTTATGAAGGTCTCAAATGACAATCTAGTCCTCTGAGCACTTTTATGTGAAAGAGTCCTTCTTATGAAAATATTTATAAAATATCCACCACCACTGAAAGAACTAGGGATCTTTGAAGAAATGACTGATTCCTGCTCTAGGGAAAGGAAAATATCAGGTGAGCCTGAGACACCTTATTGTTCCAGAAAACAAGAAAGAGCTCAAAGACTAATGGGGTGATGTCAACAGGACACAGGAGCCAGCTCAAAGTGGCTTCTATCAGCCATATTTGGGACAATTTAATAATAAAAAAGAATGACTATTATAGACCAATACACAAAAAGGTTTTCAAAAACGTCAGTGACATCAAAATTAAAAGAGGGTGAGGAGACTGTTCTAAATGAGAAGATATTGATCATGGCTTGTTTATATATTTATTTCTTTATTGTAGTAGCAGGATCATGGCTTGTTTATTTATATATCTATTTTAGTAGCATGATCATGGCTTGTTCCAAATGAAAAATTTTTACACAGGCTATGAATCTCAAAAAAAAGTAAAATGAAAAATTTCATTCATATAGAAAAGTTAAAAAGTTGAAAGCAGGTTACACTGAGCTCTTCAAATACTTTCTACCTCGATTCAGCAAATTTAACATTTTGTCATATTTCCTTCTCTATATGTATCTGTATTTATAGGTATATGGATATCTCTATCTATCTGTCTATCTGGAGAGAGAGAGAGATTCTTTTTTTCTGAGTCATTTGAAGAGACAAAATAGCCAAATACAGTGTGCAGGCCTTGATTAGACTGCGGTAGGGGTAGTGATGGTGCAGTGGTTATGCAGGAGCATGCTTTTATTCTTAGGGGATGTGTGCCCAAGTCTTTAAGAATAGTGAATCATGATGTCAAACGAGTCAGGAAGACAAGCTACAGACAGAGAGCACATGTCAAGATAAAAAGATACAGCATCGCACAGTTTGGTTTGAATAGGGCTGTGATTTGGATGCCCAATAGGAAGATTAATATATTAAGTGATATCACTAGATTGAACTTTCCTGAATAATTGCTTTATATAAAACTTTTCTTGAAATATACATGCAGAAAAGTGCAGAAGTCATGAGTGTACCCTTGGATGAATTCTGAATATTAAGTTTTTAGTCATCTAACTACTTTTAAAGTGGTCATGAAACAATATAAAAAAGTGTTTAATTCAGTGATGAGCATTGGGCATTCTGAGCCCAGATGACAATCGTGGCTTATTTCTTTCTCTGTTTAGACACCAGCTTGCCCGCTGACCCATACGTTTACAACTGGACAGCCTGGTCAGAGGACGGCGACTGGGGAAATGGCAGCAGCCACAGACGTCATGACGTGTTCCCTGATGGGAAGCCTTTTCCTCCCCACCACAGATGGAGGAAATGGAATTTTGTCTACATCTTCCACACACTTGGTTGGACTTTTAAAAACTCCGTTAGCCTCTTCTTGACCTTTCCTTAAAATTTTAACCCTCTCTTTTCTTATTCTACAGTTGAGAATAACAGTGAGAGTTCAGCAGTCACTCAGTTAACTTTCCTTAGCTTGGGTAGACGGTGAGAGATCAAAGTAAAGTCCTGGTTAACCTTGCCAGATCTCCAGAACACCAAAGAATTAAAATGAGGAAAAAAAAAAAAAAACAGATTCAGCTCTGTTATAAAAAAAGAAAAGAAAAGAAAAAGCTACTCAATTTTTAATTTTTTTCTGTCTAAAACAGTAATAAGAAAAAACATTAACATTTATTTATTTGGATAGCACATTGGATGGGTGCTCGTTCATTTATTCTTTATACTTTTTACGTTTTTAAAAGAATTTTTAAGAAGTAAAGAAACATATGCTCTTTGTACGAAATTTGCAGAAAAAGTACAAATAAAAATCATCCATAATTAACCCTAGAGATTATCACCATCATTATTATAGTGGTTTTTTACTAGTATTTCTTGATTAAGATTATAATATATACATATTTTTGGTTAATATCATGAGTATTTGACTATATCATTTAAAATTTTTATATGCATTATTTTAATGGCTGCATAATATTCCATTGTATAGAAATAAAATAATCTAACTACTGTTCTTCTTTGACATAGCTTACTCTCTTTTTTTTTTTAACCATATATGGTATTCATTTTGCTTTATTATTGGTGGAGTGATTATTTTTAGGAGGAGCAAATTTAGTTTATTATTAGCAAGGCTACTAAATTCTTAGTTTAAAATGTCATCAGGTGCCACCTGGCACTGAGTCTTTGAAAACTGCTACCAATCGAGCAGCCTTCAGCTTTCTAAATGTTTTGTCTTTCTTCATAAATTAGAGAAAGTTCCTCTTTCTTCAATTAACTTATTTACAAAACAAGACAAAATATTAGTAATACATAACCATTACATAAAATACAAAATATGTACAATATTATGCTCATCTATTTAAATCAATCGGTTTAAAGCTGGCTTTTTTTTCAATTCCATCATGACCCTGTCAGTCAACCCACCAAAAGTCATGACTTCTTTGACCCGTCACTCCCACGACAGAATTCTGACAGTTTGCAGGGAGTCACCTATGTTCATGAACACTCCTGACACTTGTTAACCTAATTAACATTCTATGAACTTAACCAGATCAGATGTCTTTATTTAAAAACAGCCTAGAAATTGCTCTTTTTCTAACAAGATTGTCTTGAATCTCCATCTTCTGCTGAGGTCTCAGAGTTAACTGATATTCTCCTTCAACTAAGTGTGCCTTCATCTCTCGGTGTCGGAACTAACATTTTCCTCACCCTCTAAGTGACACCTCTTACCTCTACAACCTCCAACAAAACCACCTCTGCATCTCAAGGTGAAGGAGGGCTCTAAATCGCACATCCCAGACACACCATGAACCAGTGTATTTTTCTCCCACGTTTGACCGTGTGATAAACATGGTCTTTAGACATCCCCATCTGACAAGCATCCGTCCTACAATACCCAGTCAATGACAGGTCTATGCCAGGCACCTTGATAGGATTAGAGAAATCCTTGAGCCCTGAAGGGGAGGAATTACTTTCACTTGTTAGCCAGCCGCAGTCAGATTCAGGGAGGGCTGGGGAAAGAAAAGGATGGGCTCAGAGGTGTCCTAGAAATGTATCTGTAGAACCACTTCATTCCTTTTTATTCCTACCATACCCTATTTTTCTTTCATCACTTACTGTATTTTTATATGCAGATACTATTAGAAGGTAGAAGATTCCAGTCCCCTTTTAGAAAGCTGCTTAATAATACAGCTGAAATAGTAAAACTATGACAAAAATAAGGTAGACTTTTGGATAGATAATTTTTTAACTCCCCTGTTCACCTCAGCATGACATTAAATGTATTTTCTATTTCAAGTGCCACACCACTTAACTTATAAAAAGCATTTATTTGTAAACTAAGGCCCAACTGTATTATCCCACCAAAAAGCGCTTTTCGTTTTGACCAACCATTCAACTACATATAATTGTGGGATGGTTTTACAAGGTTTTTACATAAAAACGAGCACCACCTCAATCCCTGAAGCAGCACCGCATCCCCACTATATTCCCACCCTGTTTCTCCTCCTCAGAGCCAT